CTTTGAATGGAGAGTAGCTAAAGCAAATGGAAGAAATGACAAGATAAAAGAGCTAAACAGAAGATTTCAAAGGGCAGCTCGAGCAGGCAAAGCCAATTATTATAATGAAATGTGCAAACACCTGGAGTTAGAGAACCAAAAGGGAAGAACACGCTTGGCATTTCTTAAGATGAAAGAGCTGAGGAAAAAATGTAAGCCATGAATCGCAATATTGAAAGATTCTATGGGCAAAATATTGAATGATGCAGGAAGCATCAAAAGAAGATGGAAGGAATACACAGAGTCACTGTACCAAAAAAGAATTGGTCACTGTTCATCCTTTTCAGGAGGTGGCATATGATCAAGAACCAATGGTATTGAGGTAAGAAGTTGAAGCTGCACTGAAGGGAGTGGCGAAGAACAAGGCTCCAGGAATTGACAGAATACCCACTGAGGTGTTTCAACAAACAGGTGCCCTGGTGGAGGCACTCACTTGGCTATGCCAAGAGATTTGGAAGACAGCTACCTGGCCAACTGACTGGAAGAGATAATATTTGTACCCATTCCAAAGAAAAGTGATCCCACATAATGTGGAAATTATTGAACAATATTAATATTGCATGCAAGTAAAATCTTACTGAAGATAACTCAAAAAATGGTTGCAGCAGTATATTGACAGAGAACTTCCAGAAACGCAAGCTGGATTAAGAAGAGGACATGGAATAAGGGATATCATTGCTGATGTCAGATGAATCTTAGCTGAAAGCAAAGAATACCAGAAAGATGTTTACTTATGTTTTATTGATTATGCCAAAGCATTCAATTGTGTGGATCATGACAAATTGTGGATAACATTGAGAAGAATGGGAATTCCAGAACACTTGATTGTACTCATGAGGAACCTGTACATAGATCAGGGGGCTGTCATTTGAACAGAACAAGGGGATATTGCATGGTTCAAAATCAAGAAGGGAGTGCATCAGGGTTATCCTTTCACCATATTTATTCAACTTGTATGCTGAAATAATCTGAGAAGCTGGATTGTATGAAGAAAAATGTGGTATCAGGACTAGAGGAAGACTCATTAAGAACCTGCGATATGCAGATGCCACAACTTTGCTTGCTGAAAGTGAAGATGACTTGAACCACTTCCTAGTGAAGATTGAAGAATGCAGTCTGCATTATGGATTACATCTCAATATAAAGAAAACAAAAATCCTCACAACTGGACCTATAAGCAGCATCACAATAAATGGAGTAAAGATTGAAGTTGTCAAGGATTTTATATTACTTGGTTCTACAATCAACACCAATGGAAGCAGCAGTCAAGACATCAGCCAACATATTGCATTGGGCAAATCTGCTGCGAAAGACATTTTTCAAGTGATGGGGAGCACGGATGTCTCCTTGAAGACTAAGGTGCGCCTGACCCAAGCCATGGTATTTTCAATCACCTCTTATGCATGTGAGAGCTGGACAATGAATGAGGAAGAGTAAAGAAGAGTTGATGCTTTTGAGTTGTGGTGTTAGAGAAGAATGCTAAGAGTACCAAGGTCTGCTGAAAGGATCAACAAATGTGTTCTGGAGGAAGTGCAGCCAGAATGCTCCTTGGAAGCAAGAATGGCCAGACTTTGTCTCAACTACTTCGGTCATGTGGTCAGAAGGAACCATTTCCTGGAGAAGGATATCATGGTTGGTAGAGTGGAGGGTCAACAAAGAAGGGGAAGGCCTTCAACAAGATGGATAGACACAGTGTCTGCAATGATGGGCTCAGGTATAGCAAAGATTGTGAGGCTGGCACAGGACCAGGCAGTGTTTCATTCTCCTGTGCATAGGGTCGCTATGAGTCAGAGACAACTCAACGGCACCTAACAACAAGAACCATTTACCTTTTGAATAATAAGCTAAGACACAGGAAAGATATATTATAAAATATATTTTAAATAATTCAGATTTTAAAAATCCTTAAGCACTTAGTACATGAGTTTTATCTAAAAAATACAGTAAGCATTAAATTGGTTAATTTTAGGTTATGCAAATTTCACCTCTCTATTAAAAAAAAAAAAAAAAATAACAGAAAGCATAAAAAATACCAAAGCCAGAGATAAATGCAGTTATGATACCATGGTCTTATGTTGAGATACTGGTGGGTGAATTATTACTCAAATGTAATCTTTTGGCCATTGTTTTGACTGTAATCTATTTTGCACCTCAGCTCCTTTTCTTCATTAGGAAATTGTATCTTTGAAGTCTCAGTTCTTGAAATCCACAGTCACAGCTGAATTATATTAACTGAATATGAATTGCCACTATTGGGCCTATGAAATATTTGTAAGCTCAAAACTGTCATGTAACCTGATTTTATCCCTCTCTTGCCACATCATTGAATTCTGACATATAATCTCACTAAAATCCCCACCAGCAAGACTAAAACAACTGCCAGGAGCAGGAGCCCTCGCCGAAGAATCAGCTGCCTCAGGGATAACTTAGTCCTATCTTTTGGCTGGACAGAGAGGGGTTCTTCAGAGTGCATCTTCTGATCCAACTGAGTCTCATCTTTTTTTTCAACATCTCTCATTAAAATTCCTCCATGGTTTTCAGGGCTCCCTGGCAGGAAAAAGGAACTCAGTTAGCAGCTTAAAAGGAATTTTTTCAGCTGTATAAAAGATGTATAAAAAGTGATACATATGTGTAGTAATAGCTGAGAGAATGTTAATTCAGGAAGCCGCAGCTACAGTGAAAAAATAACAGAAATCGTATCTCAGAGTGACTCTCCATTCACCAACACTGTCTGAATCCCACTGCTGTTGGCTTTGGTGCTTCAGGAAATTTCCCCCAAGAACAAATAAACCACTGTGCCACCAGGGCATCTCAAGTTAAGATTCATAGGGGGACTCTGAAAGGGACCAACATTCATCTAACAAGCATTTCAGAAAGAAAACAAAGCCAATGAAGAAGAAAATAATCTGAAAAATAATTTAAAGCCATATACAAAACTAAAGAAAAATGTGGCTCTTCAAATTAAAATGGCCTACTAAGTACCAGCAAGATAATCACTCAAACATAGACTTAGTCACCTGACTTCTTAGGAAGAATAAGGGAAATATCCTAAACAGTTCCCAAGAGAAAAAAAAAGGCAGGTTACTTAAAGGAATAAGAACAAGATTGGCCTCAGACTTCTTAATAAGCATAAATAGATACTAGGAAACAATATTACAATGCCCTCAGATTTTTGAAAAAAAATAATTGTGGACATAATAATGCTGGCTCACACATACAAAGGGAGCTCTGGTGGTGTAATGCCTAAGGCATTTGACTGCTAACCAGAGGGCTGGTGGTTCAAATCCATGAGTCACTCCCTGGAAGGAAGATTGGGCAATCTACTTCTGTAGTGATACCACCTCAGAAGCCCAAGGAGGGGTTGCTATGAGTTGGAATTGACTCAGCAGTGAGTTTGGTTTTGGTTAATGTCTGTATTTCCAGTAATAATGAAGGTACTATTTATCCATGGCATAATGTAGCCACAACCAAAAAACCAATAGAGATAGGCAAAATATCATCACCATTGGATACTCTTTTTTTTTTTTTCCTTAACCACTGTGCTGCTTCTTTGTGTGTGTGTGTGTGTGTGTGTGTGTGATTTGGGTGAAAGTTTACAGAGCAAATTCACTTTCCATACAGCAGTTCATATACACTTTGTCTCATGACATTGACCACAATTTACCCCAATGCAACAGCTCCCCTCCCACTTCCTCCCAATAATTACCTCTTCCCTGTGTCCATCCCTCCATGCACTCCTGTCCCCTGAGCTGTCTCCCTGTGCATAAACAGCCCTTCTTTCTCCCATGAGTGTTCTCTCCAAGGATTGTATCTACCTCGGGTAAATGTTCAGCTCATATGCCTGTCACCATTGGATACTCTTAAGCAAATACTTGTGAAAGGCAAGATTCTGAGTGATCTCGTATTTGATACTTTTCAACATTTTTATTAAACTTACAAGTATAATGAAGCTGGCTGGTTGCTCCTACTTTAGCTAAACAAAGTAGAGAAAGAAAAGGATGAGCTCAGGGCTTCAAAGTCTCAGCTCAAGTGCCACATAGGGGATGTAAAGGTTCCTATTTGTGTCCTGAAAGAAAGCCTTATTTCCTGTAGTAACAAAGCTGAGATTGCTGAAAACCAAACTCAGAGTCTTATCCTCAGAGTGGCTGAATCACAATGCCAATTGAATTTCCAACCTTGAAACATGTCTGAGGTTAAAGTGAGGGTCTCGATTGGGAAGAAATCAGATCCTAAAAATTGGGATGGGGATATTGAGCATTTAAATTCCATTGAATCACCCTTGCCAGTAGAACCAACCCTTCTACCCACATCTGAAGAGATTAACCCAGCTTTGTCTGATGAGCCACCTTTACCAGTAAAATTATCCCTTCTACCCCCCAGTGAGATTAACTCAGTTGTGTCTGAAGAGTACTGACCTGGGCCATCACCTGGGGTGATGCTGAGGCATTGCCTGAGACATTGTCGAAGGCAGATGCCTTGTAAGACATTGCTGAATGTTGCTGGATCCACTACCACCACCTATTTTTGCTTCCAGACCTATAACTAGACTCAAGTCCCAATGAGCCTCAAGAAGTGACATACAAAGTGTGACCCATGAGGAGAACCAGTTCTCCAAAAAGCACTGATTGATTTTTCTAATGTATACAAACAGAAATCTGGAGAATATGTGTGGGAATGTCTATTAAGGCTATGAGATAATGGTGCAAGGCACATTAAGTTGGATCAGTTTGAGTTTTTTGATATGGCCCAACTAAGTAGAGATTCTTCAGTGATTCAGCTTGAGAGGTTAGAAAAGGATCTAAGAGTTTGTTTGGATAGCTGACTGAAATGTAGATTAAAATGTGGCCTATCCTAGATGCAGTTTAAATACCAGAACTGCCTTTGTATACTATAGATGGTTTCCAAAGGCTGAGGGAAATTGGCACGTTAGAGTGGATTTATCATGTCAGACCCACAAGCCCACCCAGGGAGTACCCAGAAGACACACCTTTCACCACAACTGTAAGGAATAAATTTGTGAAGGGAGCCCCAGCATCCTTGAAGAGCATGTGAATGCTCTTCGGTGCAGGTCAGATATTACAGTGATAACTGCCCTCACTGAATTGGGAAAACTAACTATGTTGGGGATGACTGGATCCTTGGGTGGCAGGGGCCAAGTGGCAGTACTTAATCACCAAAGACAAGGTAGATGTAGTTATCTTAATGGAGAGCAGAGTCAAAGAAGTAATCAGAATATTCTGACTAGTACAGGTTTCACAAAACAAACAAGCATACGTTTAGGGGTTACTTTGTCATGGTATCCCTAGGAGTGAAATACAAGGGAAACTTCCTAAATATTTATTTGATCTGTACTAACCACAAGGTTGGCAGTTCAAACCCACCACCCACTCCACAGAAGGGAGTCAATCTACTGGGCAATCTACTTCTGTAAAGATTTACTACCTCAGAAACTCAATGGGGGTCACTATGAGTTGGAATTGACTCAATGGCAGTGAAGTAGAAAATTCTAGGTTAACTGAACAGCAATCTAACTTGGATTACCAAAAAGTCACAGTCCCTCAATCAATTCCCAGACTTGAGCCAGTTTATAGACCTACAATCCCTTGAATGAAGGGTAGGCCAGGTCTCCTTGAGGAAGGGCCCCACAACACTGCCAAAAATTCATACTGTTAATCTTTCTCCCAGCCTTCCTCAAAGAGATCTACAGCCTTTTATGATAGTAATTACTCATTGGAGAAAAGAAAATAATCAGTGCTTTTTGGAATTACTGGACACTGGCTCTGAACTGACACTAATTCCATAAGACACAAAACATCACTGTGGACCACCAGTCAGAGTAGCAGCATATAGAATCAGATAATTAATGTAATCTTAGCTCAGTTCCATCCCATAGTGGGTACAATGGGTCCCCAAATCCATCCTGTGGTGATTTCCCCAGTTTCAAAATGTGTAATTGGAATAGACATACTCAGCAACTGGCAGAACCTCCACATTGGATCCCTGACATGTGCAGCAAGGACTACCATAGTAGGAAAGGCCACATGGAAGCCATTAGAACTCGCCCTCCCTAGGAAAATAGTGAAGCAAAGGCAATATTGTATTCCTGGAGGGATTTCAGAGATTAGGGCCACCATCAAGGACTTGAAGGATGCAGAGGTTATGATTCCCACCAGATCCCATTTCACTCGCCTATTTGCCCTGTGCAAAAAAAATTAAAAAAAGGAAGATGAATCATGGAGAATGACAGTGGATTACTGTACACTGAACCAGGTGATTACTCCAATTGCAGTCACTGTTCCAGATGTGGTTTCATTGCTTGAGCAAATTAATACATTTCCTGGTACCTGGTATGGAGCTACTGGTCTGGCCAATGCCCTTTTCTCAATTCCAGTTTTGAAGACACCAGAAGCAGTTGGCCTTCAGCTGGCAAGGCTAGCAATACACCTCCGTGGTCCTAGCTCAGAGGTATATCACCTTTCCAGCACTATGTTATAATTTAGGGAGCTCTGGTGGTGTAGTGCCTAAGGCACTTAACTGCTAACCAGAAGGCTGGCGGTTCAAACCCACCAGCCACTCCTCAGAAGGAAGGCTGGGCAATCTACTTCTATAGTGATACTGCCTTGGAAACCCAAAGAGGGGTCATTATGAGTCAGATCCAACTCCATGGCAGTGGGTTTGGTTTTGGTTATAATTTAATCTCAACAACCTTAATTGCCTTTCCTTTCCATAAGATGTCATACTAGTCCAGTACATTGATTACATTATGCCTACTGGACCTAGTAAAGAAGAAGTATCAATGACAAGACGTTTTGGTAAGACATTTGCTGTTGGAGGGTGGGAAATTAACTTGACAAAAATTCAGGCCCTCAGTGAAATTTCAGGGGTCCATTAGTGTGGGGCATGTCAAGATATTCCTTCTAAGGTAAAAGATAAGTTATTGCATCTGGCTTCTCCTACCACTAAAAATGAGGCACAATGCCTGGTGGGCCTCTGGATTTTGGAAGCAGCATATCTCTCATAACCAAAAAAAGCCAAACTCACTGCTGTCGAGTCAGATCCGACTCATAGCAACCCCTCCTTGGGTTTCCAAGGTGGTATCACTATGGAAGTAGATTGCCCAATCTTTCTTCCAAGGAGTGGCTGGTAGGTTTGAACTGCCAGCCTTCTGGTTAACCACCAAATGCCTTAGGCACTATGCCACCAGAGCTCGCATATGGGTGTGCTACTCCAGGCTATTTACTAAGTAACTTGAAAAGCTGCTAGCCAAAACAAGAGAAGGCTCTACAACAGGTTCAGGCTACCATGAAAGCTGCTCTGCCACTTGGGCCATATTATCCAGATAATTCAATGGTGCTTGAAGTTTCAGTGGCAGATAGAGATGGTACTTAGAGTCTTTGGCAGGCTCCTATTGGTGAATCACAGTGAAGATTCTTAAGATTTTGGACCAACGCCCTGCCATCCTCTGCAGGAAACTACTCTCCTTTTAAGAAACAGCATTTGGTTTGTTATTGGGCCTTAATAGAGACCAAATGCTGAAACATGGCTAC